GCTTTTACTTTGGTCTTTTGGAACACTTAACTTTAGGGGAAGCAAACTCCATGTAAGTAGTGCAAGCCTAAGACTCCACGGTGTGAGGAAGCCCAAGGTAGCTACAGGAAGAGAAGCAGATGCCTGAAGCTTCTGGCTGTTCATCTATTCAAGCCCAGGTACCAGATTTGAATGAAGAAGCTGTTAGAGGACTTCATCCTCAGCTGCTCTGTGGCTGAAACTCTATGAAGGACTCCAAGCTGAACATACACTCTGCAGAACCATGGGTGACAAAAAAGCAAGCTATTGAGTTTTGTAGTAGTTTATGATACAATAGTAAGTAGGTAACTGGATCACCCAGGTTGTAACTAAAAAGAGCCAGCCCATAGTCAACTTACCAGTTTTACAGCAGGAACATTAAAGAGCCTTGAAATATATACTTTTGGTGAAATAGAACATTTCTTGAGAGGGATCAGGAGACCCAGGATTTAGACCTAGTTCTGCAACTGCAAAGTAGGTACAGTTGGGCAATCAGTTAACCTCTTTCAATTTTGGTTTCATCATCTATAAAATGAATGATCAGGACAAAATGAATTTTAAAGTATTGTGGAGTTCTAAAATGCTTGAGTTAATAACTTGGAATCAATAACAGGTAGTCCCTGGTTGCCTGTATTTTTTAATTCCCTTAGGCTCTTAAGTGCCATCATAACCAAGCAGGGAGGAAATAAGAAAATTATGAGCCCTGTTGATGGCAACTTGACTGTTTCATATATATTCCCTCTGAGAAATTTTTGGCTATGCCAGGAATATAGCAGTCACGTAGTGGGAAGGTTTTGCTGAATCATAATACCTTAGAATTAGAAAAGTGGATTCATGCAGGATGAGCAATCCTGTGTTTAGAATTTATTTCCAGAAGGAAGCTGTGATTAGAGTCTTTGCTATAAAGGAATCAGATACCAAATGCCTTTTTGTCTTAGAATTCATGCTACTTGGATGACTCACTCTCTCTCTCTCTCTCTCTCTCTTGTCTCTTGATGGAGTCTCACTCTGTTGCCCAGGCTGGAGTGAGGTGGTGTGATCTTGGCTCACTGCAACCTCTGCCTCCCGGGTTCAAGCAATTCTCCTGCCTCAGTCTCCTGAGTAGCTGGGATTACAGGCACGTGCCACCACACCTGGCTAATTTTTTATTTTCAGTAGAGATGGAATTTCACCATGTTGGCCAGGCTGGTCTTGAACTCCTGACCTCAGGTGATCTGCCTATCTTGGCCTCCCAAAGTGCTGGGATTACAGGTATGAGCCACCGTGCCTGGCCACTACTTAGATGACTTTCTAAAGGAGAAAACACAAAACTCATGATTAACTCAAGTTTTAATTTGCTGTAGGGAACTTAAAATCCCCTTTTGCTTTTAATCTTGCACCAAAATCCCTCTAAATTTCAACCTCTAGGACTTTGGATTTGTTATATGAAAAGATATTTAATGAAGAATAACTAAAGGTATTATAATCACTGAATGTGGCAGGGTAAAAGTTTAGGACCCATGTTTTCCCTTCAAATGATTCATAACACCTCCAGGAGAGAACATATGTTTAAAAAATAGAAATATTAATAATGAAATAAAGTTGTATAGGAGATATTGATAATGGTTATATAAATAACCACATTCAGGGTTTTTAGACTGAGACTCTGGTGTATTCTACTTGGGGCCACATTTAACTCCTCTTGACAGCAGCATATTTGATGGTCATTAGGAAACCTGGGTGTAGGGACAGGAGACAAGGTGGGAGAAAGGAAAAAAAAACAAAGACGATATATGAGATGCATTCATAAGAGGGTTGTACCTTCTTAGATGTGGTGGGAGCATGATCACACACACATACACACGCGTGCGCACACACACACAGTCTGAACTTTCTTCCTCTTTTATTTAAAACATTGAAGTGGTTATAGCTACTTGCAGTGTTCTGTTCCTAGCATTACTATTTCTCTGGCAAAGATGGAGTAAGGGTTGGGGAGTTTTTTCACCTTGACCCAAGTGATTTGAAATGCATTCAGTCTTTACATCATCATAGAACAACAAACAAGACCAGACTAAGGGTTCATATAATGGGGCAGAGTTTTCAGCTTTCTCAGCTTGAATATAATTTAGAATGAGTTCTCTCTGAACATGTCTGGAGAGCTAAGGAAGCTGACCTACAGGAAGACTAATTTGCATTAAGATCAAGGTCCTCTGTGATAATTACATTAAGGTATTTCTGGATTTCCTTTTTATTTGGGGATGAGTCACTCTTTAAGCAAAACACATGTGCTGCATACCTTTGTGGTGCTGCTGACTGCTATGTGTAGCTTGAGTATCTCATATTTAAGCACTGCCTAATGTGTGTCTGAGCTCTAGCCACACATTCATTTACTTAAACACTTTGCCTATCCATAATTATTTACTTTGACTCTTTACCTATACTTTTACCTACAGCATTCCAACTTTCCCACCTCATTCACTTCCCTTTAATGTCTCCACTGATCCACTTCAAGAAATAGGTCAAGCACCATCTCCTTAAGCAAATGGCAATAGCCTTGACAAGGTACTTCATAGCACAGTGCAAACCTTTCACGTCCTTTGCTATGCTGTTTTACACTAGTTTTTATACCGCTACTTAACTATAAACTCCTTGAGGGCAAGGACCATGTTTTGTTTCTTAATTTGTAGGTTTGTTATATGGGTCTGTCACAAGAGTTTGCCACAAGAGTTTGCTATACAGATTATTTTACCACCCAGATAATAAGCATAGTATGTGATGGGTAGATTTTGATTCTCACCCTCCTCCTTCCCTCTATGCTTAAGTAGGCCCCAGTGTCTGTGGTTCCCTTCTTTGTGTCCATATGTACTCAATGTTTAGCTCCCACAAATACGTGAGAACATGCAATATTTGGTTTTCTGTTCCTGTGTTAGTTCACTTAGGATAATGGCCTCCAGCTCCATTCATGTTGCTGCAAAGGACATGATCTTGTTCTTTTTATGGCTGTGTAGTATTAAACAGTGTATATGTGCCACATTTTCTTTATCCAGTCTACCGTTGATGGACATTTAGGTTGATTCCATGTCTTTGCTATTGTGAGTAATGTTGCCATGAACACACACAGGCATATGTCTTTATGGTAGAACAATTTATAGTCCTTTGGGCAGATACCCAATAATGGGATCACTAGGTCAAATGACAATTCTGCTTTGAGTTCTTTGTGAAATTGCCCAACTGCTTTTCACAACAGCTGAACTAATTTACATTGCCACCAGCAGTGTGTAAGCATTTTCCTTTCTCCAAAACTTTGCCAGCATGTTATTTTTTGGTCTTTGAGTAATAGGCATTCTGACTGGTGTGAGATGGTAGCTCACTGTGGTTTTGATTTGCATTTCTCTAATGATTAGTGATGCCGAGTATTTTTTCATATGCTTTTTGGCTGTGTGTGTGTCTTCTTTTGAAAAGTGTCTGTTCATGTCCTTTACCCATTTTAAATGAGATTGTTTTCTGCTTGTTGATTTATTTAAGCTCCTTATAGATTCTGGATATTAGACCTTTAAAGGCCCCTGTTTTTATATCTGTGTTCTCAATGTCTAGTTCAGTTTTTTGAATCAATTAATAAATGAGTGCTAGAACAAGAGAAAAGTGGAGGGTATTTTCAAGTTGGGCAAAGTTTGAGGTAATTCAATGTGTCTGTGTTAGTTTTCTATTGCTACTATAACAAATTACCACAAACTTAGTGGCTTAAATCAACACAATATATTACTATTCAGTTTTGGAGATTAGAAATTCTAAGAGCAAGTGTCCGTAAGGCTGCATTTTAAAAAATAGAATCTCAAGGAAACAATCCATTTTCTTGCCGTTTCTAGCTTCTAAAGGCTTCCTGCATGCTTTGGCTCATGGACCTTCCTCCATCCTCAACCCCAGCAGTGTAGCATCTTCAAATCTCTCTGATTATAACTTTCTTCTTCCATTGATAAGAACCCTTGTGATTACATTGAGGCCACCTGGATAAACCAAAGTAAATTTCCCCTCTTGAGATCCTTAATAATATCAGCAAACTCCCTTTTGCTATGTAGAAAACATATCCACAAGTCTTGGGTAATTGTACCTGGACATCTTTGTGGGGCCATTATTCTGTCTACTACAATATCTTTTTAGGATGTCTGTTAGCAAATGTGGTTAAGTGAATGTTATTCTGGCTAAGACTGGAAGGAGGAAACTCACAATCTGACAAGATAAAGCTGTATCTTACGCATTTATCTTTAAAAGTTTGTCTTCTTGGATTTAACTAGGAAATAAACACAGTGCTTCATAGATAATAATGGAAAATTTCATGATATAGTGTCCTCTGTTCTCATATTGAAGACGCTTTCTTCCAATAACTAAATATGACTCTCTAGACAAATGACAATAACAATAACAGTAACAACATCAACATGTTTTATTTCCTTCCTTGAAAGTAGGAATCGTTGTTACATCAAATAACAACAGTTGCACATTTATATCACCAGGGAAGCTTTCTAAAGGTATTAATACCTGGGACTCCCATCAAAGATTCTTATTTAATTGGTCTGGGGTGGGTTCCCAATATTACTATTTTAAAAGCTACCCAGGTGGTTTTAATATTTCAGAGGTTTCCTTTGGCATATATATACAAATATATATACACATATGGCATATGTATATGTATGCATGTATATATGTATATATGGCATATATATATGTATATATGCCATATATATACACACACATATATATGCCCCATATATACACACATATATATATATATGCACCAAAGGAAACCTCTGAAATATTATCAGAAATGACTCATTATAAGTTTTTAAGCTAGTAGTTGCTCTGGTGTCAAGTTGAAAAGACTAAGAGCGGTGTAAACTGTGCAAGTTCAGTATGATAAAACCATATTAAATTCTTCTAGAAAATTTTCTCATATTTCAAAAAGAAACTGTAGTTAGAAATTTGAGATGATATGCGTTTACCTGCAAGTTAACTTCATGACTCTCACTTTACTTTTGATATAGACACCAGAGATGTATTTCAGGAGAAATGATTTAATGTTTTCAAGGTGTGATGGAGCTTGAGAGCATATAAAGCAAGAAGAAATTGAGCACTAAGAAACCGATCTTAGTTTTCTCTGAAAGTACACAAAAAGAAAAAAAAAAACTTCATTAATTGTTTCATAATAGTTCGATTCAAAAAGCAATGTAATGCAATCCACAAGGACTGGTGGATTTGGGAATACATCTGAGCAAACCAAGGTGATTATAAATAAGGAAAAGGGCTCAGACTATTTCCCCATAGAGGAAATGACAAGGCTTCCCAGTGCACCACTGCTTTGGTAATGTGGGCACAATTACATTGTTCTGTAAAATTGCACTGCAAGATGCATTACCTGTCAGAATGGCAGCCACTTTATATTTCTTAAATCACAATGGCCAGCGATTGTATTATGCAGGAAAATACTGTCTCCTAAGTAGTAAGTTATAAGATGCACTTTATCTGCACCTTACTCATCCAAATCACTCTATTATAAATATAATGACTACAGCTTTCATTATGTATCAAAATGACTTTTTTTATTTTGGTGATGATGTTCTAAATATTAATCCCTGGTTGAAGATAATAGAGGAAATTCAAGAAATGTTCTAGCTCTTTGTACTGACATTTCTGTTGAATGTGACTGCTTTATGAGCTTGGATTTCTTTTTTGTCAAAGTATTGTCCGTTCAAGGAGTAACTCTTGGCATACTTTAAAAAAACAGTGGAGAGCTCCCCAGAAACTCTAGTACTGTGACATTGTCAGCTTTTGCAGGTCATAAGTTTTGAATACACTCAATATATCCCCCTGAACTCTTTGTTTAAGTGCCTGCTGTACTGCTCATTGCTCCACAACAGAAGAAAAGTCATGGCAGTAATTTGAACCTTATAAATATAACATCCTTGATTCACTAGGAATGGAATGTGTTCTGTGTGCTAGGGGATCCATCTTTTCAAAATTTAGAAACTTTGTTTAAACATTTATTATGCCCTTGTCTATTTGGATAAGTCATTTAGTTTAAGGACTATACAAAGCATCTTTGCTAATAAATTTTGACGTTTAACATCAATAGTACTACTGTATGTTTTCCCATAAACAAATAAACAGATAGCAGACGTGCTATTCTCTGTATTCAGCTCTGCATTGACCTTTAAGATTTTTTTTTTTTTTTTTTTTTTTTTTTTTTTTTTTGAGATGGAGTCTCACTCTGTCACCCAGGCTGGAGTGCAGTGCCCAGATCTCAGCTCACTGCAAGCTCCACCTCCCGGGTTTATGCCATTCTCCTGCCTCAGCCTCCCAAGTAGCTGGGACTACAGGCGCCCGCCAACTCGCCCGGCTAGTTTTTTTTTTTGCATTTTTTAGTAGAGACGGGGTTTCACCGTGTTAGCCAGGATGGTCTCGATCTCCTGACCTCGTGATCCGCCCATCTTGGCCTCCCAAAGTGCTGGGATTACAGGCTTGAGCCACCGCGCCCGGCTGATTTTTTTTTTTTTTTTTTTACTCTTAAGAATCTCATATATTTAAAAAGTTGCCTTTCACTTCCTCTCTATCGAAAAACATTGCTGAGGTATTTTTTCTCCTATTGTTCCCCACACTTACTGCAGAAGTATTACCTTATATGTAGTTATATGGAAAATAGAAAGTGTCAGACATGAATGGTCCACCCAGCAGATAAGATCTTCTATGTATGTTCTCTTTATATTTCCAGTTCACCAACTTCAGCCTATATTAAAGTGGAAGAAATATTATTTTTCCACAATACAGAGGTAATAAAGGGGTAAAGAGGAAAATGAATTCATCTTGAAGCTGTTTTTATCCTTGTGCTTAATTGTAAGCTGTAGCAAAGTTGATAGCACACATCGGGGCAAGGGACACCTTCCATTTCTCTAATGCCTCACAATTGAGAGACACTAATGTTTGCCACTGTGGTGTCAGTGGCTTTATTGGGAAGAAAGAAAAAATGCTCTAATGGTGTCTGCTGGGCTTGAGAGTAAAGCTGGACAAAAAGACAATGCTCTGTGTTCCAAATACAAAATGTGTCTTTTTTTTTTCTTTCTGTTTTTGAAGGGTATGTATGCTTCTTTATGAATACATCGTGTTTGTTATGTGTGCCTTTTCAGTGTACAGGTTTAAAGCTTTTCCACAAATAGCAAGCCAAACTAAAGGTAAGAGACTATCCCTTTTAACAAAGTCAGGCACAACAGGAAAATGGGACTTTCCCAGGATGAAGGGAAAATAAAATGGGAGGGGGGAAATTTCTGCAACTCTCTACCCACAACACCATAGTAGGATCTACGTGGTCTTCAATCTCCAAAATTTCTTATGGCTTAAAATTTTCTGCCTCAATTTGTCTTCACTGGGATGGTAGTCACATATTCTGGTATTGGAAAAATTAATGAATGAAGGTATTCTTAAACTTGGCTGCATTACTGCTGTGCATACTGAGACAAATCCAACAGTGATCATAAACATCGTCAAGTTCTGGGGCTTGTGTGTTTGCAGAACCATAATATTTTTGAATTGCACCAGGCGTTGGAGATCATCCAGTTATAGTACATCATTTTCCTCCTGAGAAATAAAAAGATTGAGGCCCTCTAGTGAGAATGTTTTAGTCATGCTTGTGACTTCTGAGTGAAAACATAAACCAAAGTAGTTGCTGGCCTGAAGTGGCTCCCAGGGGCAATTTTGGCAGGACTTACCTTCTTTATAGGCAGAAATTTACATGTGCACTAAAAGGTCCATGGTTTAAAGCATAATGACTGGAATATACATTTGTTGATTGACTTAATAAACAAAATGTAATCCTCTGACGGATTGTCTGAAATGGCTACCCTTGCAGGGATTTTCTTATGAGTTAAGACATTATACTTCCAAGCACTCCTCTGAAAGAAGTAAAACATAAAATTAACAGATAATGTTGGGGAGTATTGTTCTGGGCCTGCTGCTGTCTGAATTCATGTAGTTTAGGGTGATGCTTCCCTAAAACTGTCTAAAAAGTGGTATTATTTCACAAGAGAGTTTTGTTTTTAATCAGTTCAAGGCTAAATGAAAATTTAAATAGAAAAAAATAAAATAATTTAGAAGTATTTTAACTTCTCTCAGTTTAAAAGATGGCCCTTTTGTATGATATGAATTCCTTTCAATTTTTCTGATATTTAAATGTCTATTGTCTTATGAAATAATTGTGCTGCTACATGATAAGATTTTTTTCTTCTGTCATCTTGAAAAATATTGCCAACACTGTATTTCATTGGTCCATGAAGTAAAATGTTTGATACTTCTTGACTTCTACACCTTGGGTGGCTTTTACCATGTCAAGGATAGGGGTTGTTGGGGATGGGTAGGAGGCCTTGTAGCCTGGCTGCTGGGTTAATAATAATGAGGCATTTGTGTAGAAAAAAGTAGTGGACCATTATAAGCTGCCACCCTAGCCACAAAACAGTGACCCTTGACTGTCCATAGAAGACACAAAGCCCAGACTGTTTTTCTTTTGCCATATGTTCTGCTGTATCCTTTACCTTCCATACCTTTTGTTCTTTTCTGGGTAGTGTAGGTAAATGTCCCAGAGGCTGATCAATGGATGACTTTAAGCTGCCTGCTTCACCAAGGCCTCCTATGTCAAATAACAAAAATAATAAAAATGAATAGAAATTTTTGTCAGTGGTGGAAGGAATAATGAAAACTGCATTGGTTTTGAAAGACAGATGAGCACTATGAATGCCCCAAACTCTACCCGTCTGGGAGTACACGTAAGGTTGCCTTAGCAGTTGAACTTCCAGTCCACTGATTGTGTGGCTCTTATGTGCCTGATGGGAGACATTTGGCATCTTCTCCAAGGTCCTTCTCCCCTGTGCTTGCACACTTTAGAGGAGACTACCAGATGGAATCCAAATCAGTCCGAGCTGCAGATTGTGCATTGCCTGGCTCCATGTTGCTGACCTCAGCTCCACCACATCCTTCTGTCCTGTTGCTTCACATTTCCAAATTGTCACTTCCCAATCCCTCACTAAAACACTGCCACATCCCATCCTGTAGTTCCGGGGCTCTGGACCTCCCTGAGACTGCAGCTCTTCCAAACTGACCTCAGGGTTACTGCTCTTCCATATATCATCTTGGCTTAAGCATGGGTACAGATTGTTTCCTGTATTTCCTGCATTACAGCTGAGGCTAAACCTCTCATCTCAGCCCCATGTCTGCCTCCTACATGGAATGTCTCTCTATATATATTTACTGGGCTGTTTTCTTGTGACAGAGGCCTGTACACCTCAATGTACACCTCTTTTCTTGTGTAGAGGCCTGTACACCTCTACATGCTTAAACACATAGACACTTTGAAATTCAGGCTAAATACTTGGGACCCTTTTTCATCTTTAAGACCCACCCCACCCTTCCCAAATTCCTAATTTGAAATCATAAGACCTCTATCGTTTTTGGATGGCTGAGATGTCCAAGTCTTTCAAGGGAAGTTCTACTTTAATATAGGTGGGTGTAGCTTTGCCTACCAGCCAAACAAAGGTATCACATGAGCATACAATAGTCTCACAGAAGAGCATTCTGCGTTACTCTGTGACACCATATGCATGGCATAAAGAATATGGTCTAGTTAGAGCCTGACTTCCTGAGAGTGGCTTAAATTAGATATTTTAGGTGCTTCCAAATTTCGAATTTCTCAGGAAGCTTGTGAAGTTCTAAATTTACCTGGATATCCAGAATGAGTTTGCGATTTGGTGGCAAGGTTATGGAAGAGGATGTATGCTGGTTTGGAAACGGGTTAAGAGGAAGAAGTTTGTGAATTATTTCACTTTGATAGTGGGATTTAAGAAGAATAGAAGTGATGGTCACTGTTTGTTCCACAGTACGTGATGCTCATTGAATATACCCAAAATAAGCCTTTTGGAAAAAGCCCTCAGAAGGAGAACGAGAAGCACTAAAAAAGAAAGGATTGTTTCAAAGGAATGGATTTTTTCATGGTAGCAAATGTTCAGTGTTTTAAGTTAGGTTTTCTGGGAAATAGGCTCTGAGATGAAGATTTGTATGTAGGATGTTCATTGGTGAATGACTTTGTGGGGACAGCATCTGTAACTGGGCAGAAGACAGTGATACAGTTAAAATAATCATTGGCCATTCTCATGGGAGTGCTGAAACCTAGATGACTCTTGAAAGGTGACCTGACTGCAAGAAGTGCAGGCTTTTGTATCCCATCTCAACTAGTCATTGCATGGGAACTGCCGCAAGGAAGCATAACTTGGACAAAAAAATTCCCTTTGGCCAAGAGCAATGCCTGAGAAGGGATTCAGCTGTCAGCCATCAGCAAACACTCTCTGCTTCTAAGGAAATAGGTGACTCCATTTTGACAGGGGATCTGGGCAGTGAATACAGGATCCACAGCACTCAGGAAGCCCTGAGTGTAAACTAAAGGAAACCAGGAAGTGTGTAAATGCTCTGACTCTGCTGTTAAAAAGAGGTCATAAAAGTTTAATTAAATGAATAGGTTTTTGCCATATATATATTATTCGAGAATATTTGTGTCTTCTTGGATTGAAAATGGTGCCTGTTGGACCCATAATAAATTTTACCTGAGAGGCTGTGAGGATGAAGTGAGAAAACATATATAAAAATTTTTGTAAATGGCACAAGAATGAAGAGAATTAGGGTGCACAGAGCATAGGAACCAAGGCCAGTAGGTATAGGAAGAAGCTGGTCTAGAAACAAAGGTGTCAGGGGAAGAGAAAAAAAAGATGTGAGATAAGCTTGAGGAAAAGTTAAACTTTGTGCTATTTTGAATGGAAAACACTGCTCCTCTATAAGTCCTATTATCACTGTATTTCTATTTAAGAATTTAAAATGATGTTAATGGTTTCTTTCTGGGTTTAGATGAAGCTGAGCGGTCACTTTTTTTTCTCCTGCTATTATGATTTGTCTCCCCAGGGCCTGGTAAATGGCCCAGCATTCCCTGTATTAAACTAAGCGTAAGTCTTTCATCCTTTGTAAAAATGCTGTCTATTTAGGCTCTTTCTAATACCCACTTGTTCCACCCTGCAGGATACTCTGATTTATACTTGCAAAAATTATTTTCTACATATCAAAAAATTTAAATAGAATATAGAGCAATTCTAGTCACCTTGCCAACCAATTGATAATTTGATTACATGCATTCAAGTGACAGACTCCAGCTGCCTGTTGCAGTGATAATCTTTGCAAATACTATTTTGAGGCCCAGTTTGACATAGAGGCTGACAAGCTGGAAAGCAAAAGGCTATATTAAAATTAACATGCTGTCACCTAGGAAATTTAATTTGCTTGTATCTAAGCAAACACAAGGATATCTTCAGAGATTTTATGCTTTTATGAACATCCGTAGACTAAAAGTTCAATAAGTCTGTTGCACAAAATTATTCATTCATTTTTTTTTCAAATTATACTTATTGGGTAGTGATATAACTGCTTGTTTTATAAATATGTAAGGGTTAGTGTCCTCAATGACTCTATAGTGACTACAAGTTCAGGCTTTAGATTCAGATAGTCTGAATTTCTAATTCCAACTTCACTACTCAGTACTAGTTGTGAAATTACATGAAACTTGCTTAGCTTCTTTAAATTTCAGTTGTCTCTAATGTAAATGGAAATAATATTAATGATCAACTTACAGGGTTATTTAAAAGACTGAAAAACTATGTATTTGTTAGTGCTTGCACATAGTAACCCCTCAATAAGTGGTAACTCTCTCTATATGTATGTCTATATGAGAATATTATACATAACATACACATTGATAGGTATGTATATAATCTATATATACACTATGTAATGTGTATGTACATGTATATGCAAACATATAGATGTATATATGTGTAATGTATACATACAATATGATATATTAAATGATAATACAATACAATTAAATGGTAAGAATGGTTTATAGATTCAAAGTGTGTAAGATAATGGGGTGCAAGCATATCAATATTTAGATAAAGCTTCGTGGACTAGTTGGGGTTCTAACTAAGGCTTGGAGGATGGTAATCAGGGAAAAAAAATGAAGCCACTCTTCAGAGGCAGATGGGGAATTATAGAATAACCCTGGGAATTGAAACTGAATGCTATGTAAAATGCCAACAACAGTTGGCATTATTCTTATTTTAAAAGTTGGTACAACATGTTTGCTAACCACCTTTTCAAAACTAAAGCTTTCTCAGTTATATTAGTTAAGAGTTGAGGAGGCCAGGGACGGTGGCTCACGCCTGTAATCCCAGCACTTTGGGAGGCTGAGGTGGGCGGATCACGAGGTCAGGAGAACAAGACCGTCCTGGCTAACATGGTGAAACTCCATCTCTACTAAAAATACAAAAAAAAAATTAGCCAGGCTCGGGAGGCTGAGGCAGGAGAATGGTATGAACCCAGGAGATGGGGCTTGCAGTGAGCCAGGATCGCGCCACTGTGCTCCAGCCTGGACGACAGAGTGAGACTCTGTCTCAAAAAAAAAAAAAGAGTTTTATGCCATGGAAATTTTTTTCCACTGTAAACATTGAAGTCCATAGATATTAGAATGAATCCAAAAGCTATGCTTCAAGTTTGTTTTTTAAAGAATAAATGCCATAATCATTGAAGATTTGTGGAAGTTAGTAATATAAAAATGCATCTGTTTTGCATTTGATTGATGACATCAAAGGTCCTTTTGTAAGGTTTTGTGATTCTTACTTTTAGCCTTTGAAATATTAAAAGGGATTTTGAAATGAGCCTTTAGTTTTAGAATGTTTTTGGCTAAAGTGGCAGGATATATTAAAGGTATTTCTTCAGAGAATTATTGGACTCTTGCTTGGATGATGCTAATTCAAGTCCGTTTCTAGAGAGACATATTATTAAACTTGATTTTGACCTCGTAATGTGGTGAGACTCTTCTTGAGTGTTTTCTTAACAGTTATATTTCAGTGGATTGTGAGGATCTATCTCTTTCATAATAAAACACACTGTTTAGCCTGCTTTGCTAAAGCATTATTGGCCCTGTTACTTAATCCATAGAACACATCCCACTTTTCAAGGTCATCTGTTCCTTGTTCCCACCTACATACCAACTCAACTTACTCCCAGCCCCAAGATAGCATGCTCACACACATGAATGCCCACCTATCCAAGTCAAACCATGCTTCTGTGCATGCCACACTCAGCTTCCTTTCCCTTCACTGATTTACACTCTTGACAGTCTGAAAATATCCTCCTTCTACTTTTTTCTGCATAAACATCATGACTCAGTTTGGGGCCTGTTCAGATTTTGAGCCAGTTTGTCTTCTTTGATGTAGCGTCCTCAACTATTCAAGTTCATCTTTTGTCTTCCTCTTTGAAATTGTTTTGCAAGGAGACAGAGTCTCACAAACTATTACTTAGGTGTATTACTTAAACTGTTATTATTACTAATGGCTTCATGTGCCTGATAGAATTCTGGAGCCTGTTGTCTAACATGACACTGTGCACATAATAAGTACTTATTTTTTTTGAGTATTGATTATGTCTCTGATTTAGGGTTAAATATCACATTTAGATTCTTAGTAACCAAAACCCCACTCTAAAATAATTTGTATACAAAGCAGGTTTTTTTCCTTTTTTAAAAAAACTATAAGCC